TACGTAGCAAGTTCTTGTCTGTAAAGAGCAAATAAAACAAAGATTTTTGTCATATAAAGAAATGAAACAACACAGGTACAAAGAAACAGAAACAAAGTCGAGGAAGAGAGACTTAAATGTAGTGAGTTAGGACTGGAGCCCCTACCCACTGCACCTTTAACCACATTAATCAGTCCCTACTTACCAGGGGAGGTCTCAGAGCAGCCATAGAACCCAGGGGTGGTCCAGGGGCCCGGGCCATTGGTGGCAGCATCATGGGTGGTCCAGGAGGCCCAGGCAGAGGGGGTCCAACCAGAGCCTGGTGCGGGGGCCTCAGGGCCATAGGTCGGGGGCCACCTGCTGCAGAAGAGAGAGCAGAATCTGTCAGGGTGTTAGAGGGGGAGTTCCAGGGCTTGAGAGAAATTGCTTGGCAGGGATCATGACCCTGGCCCCTCACCTGCTCTCTGTAGCACGTGGGGGACGAAGGCTGGACGCAGGATAGGGGCCCTCTGAGGGGCCACAGCTGTGGGAGAGAGAGATGGGGGTGTCATGGGGGATTGGGACACTAGGGGCAAGCTGTTTGATAGGTACTCTCAGTACCCAAGAAATCCTGGAGAAGATGAGGTGGTCTTGCCATTGCTTCACTCAGCAAACTGATGTCAAGGATTTCCTGAGGGCCTAAGCCTGTTGTGAACAGTGCTAGGAACCCAGCAGACCATGGGGGTGCCAGGCTCTGGGTCCAGGATAGGAGGAAATCCATGCACTGCCAGAGAAGGACAGCCCAAGGAGCTGTCAGAGGCCAGAGAGTGCCATGACCCAGCCAAGGGACTTGAGGCCTCCTGGAAAAAGGGACCCATGAGCTAGGACCTCAGGATAACTAAAAGTCCAGCAAGGTGTGAGCAGAAATACCTCCACGAGGGAGAATATATAAGGAAAACCTTTCCCCTCAAGTATAGGTGGTATCCCAGAGGAAATTGGGGGAGGGGGGAGAGTTCAAAGAGAAAGACTGATAGGCATCAAGGCAGCCTTACTGGCTGAGCAATGGTATCCTCCTGAGAGAACAGAAGGTTAGAGATCTGGGCAGGGTGATCAAGTCAGATTTTCACTTTGATAACTTACTAAAGAGCAGATGTTAAGATTCATCAGACACCATCAGATTAAAAAAGAAAGCCAGGAACAGAGACATCCCTTAACCATAGTACTCAGGAGGCAGAGACAGGACTTGTGTCTGAAGCCCTCCTGGGCTGCATAGCAAGGTCTTATTTTTAAGAGCTAAGGGCTTGGATGCAGTTCAGTGTAGAATACACTTGAGGCCCTGGGCTAATCCCCAGCACAACAAAAGCATAGCAGTATTAACAAACACAATCAAAGTAATTTTGTCTTTGTTTTTCGAGACAGGGTTTCTCTGTAGCCTGTCCTGGAACTAGCTCTTGTAGACCAGGATGACCTCAAACTCACAGAGATATGTACATGTCTGCCTCCCAAGTGCTGGGATTAAAGGCATGTGCCACCACCACCCAGCTAATCAACAGAATTTTACATCCAACTAAAAACACACATCTTAGCACACATTCTCACAAGCAACATCATAAAAACCGGCAGTATGTGTATATATACATATATACACCTGAAGGGCCAGAGTGGAAAACATGGGGAATGGCTGGTGGACAGAAGGTTTGAAGGTCACAGCTGAGTGACAAGAAGCAGAAGAGAGAAGGTTCCTTGACTTTCTCTGACAACTCAGCTATGCTTGGAGCTCCCAAGTATGGTGGGAGATCAGGATCTGCAAGGAGCCAGGTCACAAAGGTAGTCCTGTGAGTTGCCTGGTGCTACTCGTGAAAAAAATCAAGAGTCCTGTCCTTCGCAAGGCTTGCTTGCTAGAGGAAGCAAAGGTGACAAGCACAGTGAGCAAACTGAAGAGCTTGCTAGAAGGTGCTAAAGCTTGAGGAGACACTGTCGAGGTTTCCAGTGAGGAGTGACAGGACTGAGAACAAACTGAGTTGAGACAATCAGGAGGCACACAAGTGTGTGCTGTCCTAAGACATCATCAGAGCGGAGAAAGGAATCTAGAGCAGATTAGGGCAAGGAGCCAGAGTTTCTAAGCCTAAACAAGCGTGCCTGGTCAAATGTGGGGTCCTGGTCCTCAACCCACCTGCTCGTCTCAGGAACATGGCTTCTCGAGCCTCAGGACTGTCCAGGTGACTGCGATCAGCAGGGCCAAAGCCAACTGTGGGGAGGAGAGATGAGGATGGTGTGAGGCGAGCTCTGAGTATCCCTTCTAACCACCCAGCCGGACCCACGCCCTCTCACTTAGTTACTTACCTGGGCCCACAAAGGGAGGGCCTCCCACCATGGGAGGAACCACTGTGGCTGCGGCAGCTGCCCGGGCCTCTAGGGTCTGTTGGACCTATTGGGGAGAAGGAGGCCTGGATCAGAGTTGCTCATCAACTTCAGCTGGCTCGCCATGGCAGGTCGCCTGTGCTTTATGGGGTTGGTGACCAGTCAGGCTCTGCTACAAGGTCCCTTCACTGGGCCTCCTGGAGCCATACTGAGTAAAGCTACTATTATTAATCTCTCCCAGGATCAATTTCTCTGACTCAGCTTCCCTATAGTACTATCTCCCATCCGAGAAATAACCAAGTCCCCGATTCATTTCTGAAGTCAGGCATGTTCAGGGCAAGGCTGCAGACACCACAGAACTATCTCAAGTAATGTCCAACTTGTCCTCCCTGTTACCTACATCCATTTTACATAGATTATTAGCCTTGTCCTCCGACTCCTAGAATTTACCCTTGACCCCTCTAGTCTATTATCCAGATAGCCACCTGCTTATCTTGGACCATTATCACCCTTGTTCTTAGAATTCTCTAGTAGTTCTTTATCTCAAAAGTAAAAGCCAGCTGAATGGTAGTGGGGATGCACACCTCGAACTCACAGAGATCCACCTGCCTCTGCCTCAGAGTGCTGGGATTAAAGGCGTGTATCACACCATCAGGCTCCATCACCGTCTAAAATCTTCTAGACTTTCCTTTCTGCTCAAGTTCTCTGCACATTCAGCTCTCTGCTGTTCCTTGAACACTATGACCGCTATACACTTTCTCAGGGTCTGCACGGACAGCTCTCTACTGGAGGATAACATCACTCCAGACATCTGCATGCCTCCATCGCTTGTTTATAGCTTTGCTTTACTAAAATAAAACACAAAGGCCTTCCCTGACTTGGCCCCCCCCTTTTTTTTTGAGACAGGGTTTCTCTATGTAGCTTTGGAGCCTGTCCTGGCACTCGCTGTATAGACAAGGCTGGTCTCGAACTCACAGAGATCCGCCTGCCTCTGCCTCCCGAGTGCATGTGCCACTACCACCCGGCTTTTTTTTTTTCAGTCTTTTTTCAATGCAAGGGATCTATGACTTTGGCATGCTAGGCAAGAGATCTATAACTGAGCTGCATCCCAGTTCACCTAATAACTGCAAACAGAATTAGCAAGTTTCTTTTGCTGGTATTCATTCCTTCTTTCCACTAGTCATATAAAGCTGACTATCAAGCATTGGGATATTATCAATGAGACTTGGGGTCGATTTAGCAAAAGTATACATTTTACTATATTTTTGTGGTGGTGGTGGCCTTACACACTAGAGTTTTGCACAGGCTACCTAAGTGCTCCACTACTGAACTACAGCGCAAATCCGTGAGTGTAAGCTTTAAAGATGTTTCTGAAGAACACTAAACTGCAGAGTTTATAGAGTTGCCGCCACTGCAGAAAGTTCTACCAGATAGGATGCTGCAGAACAGATGCTTCCAAAGTATTAAATATACTCTGTCTTGCATCCCGAGTTCCTGGTAGAGCAGTTATTTGTCATGCAAATAACTAGCGCAAAAAACATTGATCGCTCTCCACAGAAAAACCCTCCTTAGGATCAAAGCACTGTGTTTCCCCCGACTCAAAAGCTGTAGCTCCCGCCTTACCTGCTGGTACGTGTTGGTGGCGATAATTGGGCGGATCACAGGAGCTGCTGGGACCTGCATGGCTTCTACCGTGGGCACCGCAGGCACAGCAGTTGGGATTCCGGTCACCGGAGCTCCCAGGACTTCTTGCTCAAACCTGAGGGAGCGGGACAGATACTGTATGTCAGGTACTCTCACCAAGACAGTGGCGCTGGGCACATCACGACAGCGCCTTCATCCCGGCCAAAGCCTCCCCGCGCGACTCTCCATGCCCCAAGTCCCTCGGATCCCACAGCCCCTAATGGAGCCGCATAAGGCCTTTGAAGACCCGGAGGCTCCAGGGTTGAGTGGATTTGCCCGGAAACCGCTTTTATTTCTCCTGCTCAGGGCCTTACAGGGCCATCTCCGCCTCCATTTCTTTCAAGCGTTCCTCGCCGCTCTTGCCCGGGAGGCCGACGCCAGGCCCCGGGACAACAGGGCCTCCTGCAACCGGGAGTCCCGGAGCCGGTCCCGCCCCTGCCATCGCTGAAGTCTTCACGGCTCCTCTGCCGCCGCCGCAGATTCTACGGTCGAGCCCCTGGCTCCTCCTGGTGGGAGCCGCCGCTGACGTGTGGACCAGCGCGACGAATGCGTGAGTGACGCCGTAGGCCCAGGAACAGGGGGCCAATGAAATGTGGCCACACCCCCAGGAGGAGCACAAGCCAATCAGAGTGCCGGAAGGACAGGGCCCGAAAGGGCCCCGCAGCTGTCAGAGCGCGGCAGAACGGGCAGGCCACGCCCTCAGGAATGAAGGGGGCGAATGAGAGCGAACAACGTCATCAGGCCCAGCCCGCTGTGAAAGCCGGAATTTCGAAGAAGCACGGAAGTTCGGGGAGGGGGGTGCGGGGGGGGCCTTCTAGAAGTTTGTCAACACTGCCACGTCCGTTGTCTGTACGCCTGACTCAGGGCAGGGGTCTCCTGACGCTCTCATAGGCGTCAGTTCATTTTTTATTTTTATTTATTTTTATGTTTTGGACAAAACTTAACTTTACGGACTGCCTTCATGTTTTCCTTTTGGGGTTTTGTTTGGTTTTTGAGACGGTCTGGCCCTTGAACCAAGACATGGACCTCACTTGGTAGCCTAGGTTGTCTTATTGTCTAAGCCGGGCGGTGGTAGCGCACACACGCCTTTAATCCCAGTACTAGGGAGGCAGAGGCAGGAGGATCTCTGTGAGTTCGAGGACAGCCGGGTCTATAAGAGTTAGTTCCAGGACAGGCTCCAAAGCTACAGAGAAAACCTGTCTCAAAAAAGAAATCTTCTGGCCTCGGCCTTCCAAGTGGCTGGAAGGTATGGACCAAAATATTGACTTTGATGCTAGAGCTATCTAGGGAGAATTGAAGTTTTTGTTTGTTTTTAAGTTAAAGACTGGCCTTGAACTCAGAAATCAGTTGTTTCTGTTTCCTGACTGCTCCACCAAGCCTGCTAACATTTTCATGAATTAAGGTTCATGGGTTATTCTGGTTCCCTCTGTGTTCGTCTGATGTTCTAGCATCTCACCAGGATGCCACATTCCTGTTTCATTGGGTTCCCATGGGCTCTTCTTCCATGTGACACGTTTGAGGAATGCTGGTTAGGTGTTTTGTATTGTGTTCTTCATTTGTAATTTGATGGGTTTTTTTTTTCCCCTCATCGTTATTCTGGTCATGGGTCTTTGGGAAAAAGGCTACAGAGGGTAAAGTGAATTTCTCCTCAGAATCCAAGAATACAAATTATACACGGGGTTATCACCTATTGCTTGGATGAGGTTATATTGAGCATTTACACTATAGAATTCCTTTAAAAAGTGCATTTCTGCGTACACCTTTACTCCCAGCACTCAGGAGGCAGAGGCAGGTGGATCTCTGTAAGTTCGAGGCCAGTCTGGTCTACAGAGTTCCAGGATGCCAGAGATACACAGAGAAATCCTGTTAAAAAAAAAGTGCTTTTCGAAGAAAGACACCATCAAGTGCAGCCTTAAAGAATAAGGAATTAGGGCTGGAGAGACGGCTCAGCGGTTAAGAGTACAGGCTGCTTTTCCAGAGGTCTTGAGTTCAATTCCCAGCAACCACATGATGGCTCACAACCATCTATAATGAGATCTGGCTCCCTCTTATGGCCTGTGGGCAAAACATCCAGACAGAATGCTGTATGTATACATAATAAATAAATAAAACTTAAAAAAAAGAATAAGGAATTACATGTCACTTCTTTTTGATACAGGAGCTTATATGCCCAGGTTAGCATCCTCTTGTCTCAGCCTCCTGAATTCAGGGTGTGTGTGTGCCACTGTATGACTTTGCTACACTTCCTTGAAAGAATACAAATATAAATTATTAGATATATTGTGAGTGACAGATTTCTCTATTGTCATTCATTTATTCAATCATTTATATCAATATAGACTCATGAAAACTTATGCTTTAGGCCATAATTTTTTTTTTTGAGATAGGGTTTCTCTGTAGCTCTGGAGCCTGTCCTGGAACTCCCATTGTAGACCAGGCTGGCCTCGAACTCACAGAGATCCGCCTGCCTCTGCCTCCCGAGTGCTGGGATTAAAAGCTTGTGCCACCACTGCCCGGCTTAGGCCATAATTTTATATTTAAAGTTTTTGGTGTTTGGAGACATCTTGTTGTGTGGTTCTGGCTGGTCTGGAACTCACCATGCTGACCTCAATTCTGTGTTTGTCTTTTGAGTACTGGGATAACAGATAAAAGCCATAGTTGTGAACTGGGTGGTGGCACATGCCTTTAATCCCAGCACTCAGGAGGCAGAGGCAGGTGGATCTCTGTGAGTTCGAGGCCAGCCTGGTCTACAAGAGCTAGTTCCAGGACAGCTCCAAAGCTACAGAGAAACCGTTTCTCAAAAAAACAAACAAACAAACAAACAAAAAATACCCCATGTGTGGAACTCAGCCTAGACGGTGGTGGGGAAGGCCAGCATACTTCATGTGATGTTGTTCTTTAACCCACTGTATTTGCTTGTACCCTTCAGAAGCTCATGGCCAGGTTGCCCTTGGTGATGTCAAGATTCTGTTCCATCATTTTAGGAAGTTGGACACAGTCTTACAGAAATAGAGAGTTATGTGCTACTTTTTAAAGGGGTTGTGTGTGGGTGAAGTCTCACTGTGTAGACCACATCAAACCCAATGTCTGTTGTCCCTGCCTTTCCAGTGATGGGATCACAGGTGTACCACTTCACTGGGCAGATTTTTTTTCTCTATCTTTGACATGTGAGAGCTCCTTAGGTTGGCTCTATCGTGCCCACTTGGCCAGTTGTTCTGAAGGACATCCTTGCTTTCTAGTACAGAGTAATTTCTATACATTTGCATACTTCTTTACCCAGATCTAGAATCAGTCGTTTCCCTGGGATTCCTGGCTTCGTCAGAAATAGCACCAGGATTTTTCATTCATCTATGTTTTGTTTTGTTTTTTGAGACAGGGTTTTTTTTTAAGATTTATTTATTTATTATGCATACAATGTTCTGTTAACATATATACACCAGAAGAGGGCACCAGATCTCATTATAGATGGATGTGAGCCACCATGTGGTTGCTGGGAATTGAACTCAGGACCTCTGGAAGAGCAGCTAGTGCTCTTATCCTCTGAGCCATCTCTCCAGCCCCAGGGTTTTTTTTTTTTTTCTCTGTGTAACAGCTATATCTGTCCCAGAACTCGCTCTGCAGACCAGGCTGGCCTGGTCAGAGATCTGCCTGCCTCTGCCTGGAATTAAAGGTGTGTGCCACCACCACCTGGCCACTATGTTGTCATTTTATTTACAATGAATGTTTTAGGAAAATCAAGTTTCATTTCTTGATAAGCAAATACAATATCGTAGGG